AACAGGAAGGGGTGGGACAAATTTAGATGTAGGGGGGCGCAATTTTAGTCTTGCCTAGGGCAGCACAAAACCAAAATACACCATTGCCCAGAAGCATTGGAGGTGCAATAAATGCACTTTTTCCCCCTGAAAATATGGGTGTATTTATTATTTTTTTCCAGCTCCTGAAGGTAACATGATGCTGCTGCTTGCACTGACATGCACAGGCCGCCTGAACACACTACATAGAGAAGACATGCCTTTGCTCCTCTTCCAAGGGTTAGTTATCAACAGTGGCTTGCATGGGGCATACATGTGTAATGGCACCTGTAGTCCTGAGGAGGGGGCTCAGATGACTTTCTATTATGTTATTGATGCACTCTCCCTGACGGCACGTTAGGGGAAGCACTGCAGGGGAAGTCATAGCCTGCCTTCATTAACATCAATTCGTAACTGTTGGGGTTTTTTTAAGCAATCTTTTACTGTGAGTCACTCTAGACATATGTATTATTATAAAAAAAAATAAAAAAAATGCCAGGAGCAAATTTTCCTGTGCTGGGGATCCATTAAATATAAATCGGCTGCAGTATGGCTGAGCACACTGCAATGCACAACAAAGCTCATTACTCTGACAAATACGGATGTGCTGCAGTTCACACACACTACATAGTGTTTGGTAAATCAAAAGCGATTGTACAATCAGGCAGTACCGTGTGTGGTCAGCTTAACTTTGACTCAAAATCATTAAAAGAACCTCAGAAAGACCCCGCTGATTGTGCCTGAAGCAGCGTTACTTACAACACCAAGGAAGAGAAGCAACAAGATATAAATGAACCTGTCCTCTTCACTCCCCCCAGGACCTCCTGCTCTCTAGCTTCATCGACACCTCCTCCCATGCTTCCCTCCAGGACTTCCCCAGAGCCTCTCCCATCCTCTGAAACTCCCCACCCCAATCTATCGAGCTGTCTCCTACTCTGTCTACCTTTTTCAATCCCTTAAGACTCATCTCTTCAGGGAAGCCTATCCCACCTCTAACTAAAAACTGATTTTTTTTTTTTACTTTCTCAAACAACTCATCCCCCAAAAGTTATTATCTTTTGTATCACTTATCCTTCCCTATAGAGTGTAAGCTCTCCTGAGCAGGGCCCTACTATTTAGCTTGTCTTGAATTGTATTGTAACTGTGCTGTCTCCCTTTATTTTGTAAAGTGCTGTGCAAACTGTTGGTGTTATTTAACCAATTCAATACCGGGCAATTTTCCCCCTTCCTGCCCAGGCCATTTTTCAGGTTTCAGCGCTCTCACACTTTGAATGACAATTGCGCGGTCATACAACATTGTACCCAAACTAAAAATGTATCATTTTCTTCACACAACTAGAGCTTTCTTTTGTTGGTATTTAATCACCGCTGGGATTTTTATTTTTTGTTAAATTAACAAAAAAAGACAAAAAATTAAAAAAAAAAAAAAAAAAACACACGTTTTTTCTTTGTTTCTGTTCTAAAAGTTTGCAAATAAATAATTGTTCTTCATAAATTTAGGCCGAGATGTATTCTGCTACATGTCTTTGGTGAAAATAACCCAAATTAGGATGTATTTTTTAGTTTGTAGGAAAGTTATAGAGTTCACAAACTATGGTATAGATCTGAATATTGATCAATCCTGAAGTTCTGACAGCCAATCTAATTTCTTGAGGTCCAAGAATGTCAGAATAGTACAGATATCCCCCAAATGACCCCTTTTTGGAAAGTAGACAGTCCGACGTACTTCATAAGAGGCATGGCGAGTTTTTTGAAGTTGTATTTTTTTTCTCATAATTTTTCGGAAAATTAAAAAAATTTGTTTCACTATTTTTTTTTTTACATACTGTCAGCAGTGCAGTACAGCGTCATCATATAACTGGCATGGCGGTGATCAGGGACACTGACTGGTGACAGTATGAAAAAAAAAATATATATATATTGTTTTTTTATTATTTTTTTAAGTTTTTTTTTTCATATTTCACTATGACCAAAGTAGTACAATGTTACCACAGTAACATTGTACTACTTTGGGGAAGTGATCAGTATTTTTTTTTTCTACACAATTTGCTTATAGTAAAGAATTACTTTGCTATAAGCAAGCATTTACCTGAATGACCGATTCATTCAGGGTTTTTTTTTTTGTGCTTAGCTGTGATTTGGCCACAGCTAATCACATGACATGTGCATGTGATTAGCTGTGACCATTCACAGCTAGACACTAGTATACAATGGATGGTATAAATGAAGCCATCCATTGTATACAACTGTCATGTGACCTGCTGTGATTGGTCAGACCACATGGTACCGGCAATGGGGGCCGATACTCAGATCTGTCATCGCCCGTGTCTGAGGTACACGGCCGGTGACAGATCGCGCCACTGCGCATGTGCGGGAGGACGCCATATGGCGTCCACCTGGAACGCTGATGACATTTGCCGGCCGCCATTCGGCCATAGGGCGGGCGGCAAATGGTTAAATCCTGATAAAATAATAATAAGCAAGAATTCTATACAACCAGTAGTGAACACTGATTGTGCATGTGGATTCCAAAACTGTCACCCGGTTCCCATCAAAAGTTTATGTTTTGGGGGTGTACAGATTGTTAAAGAGAAAATACAGGTTTTTTTTATTTAATGTTTTTCTCACTATCTATATACAATATCTGATTCACAAATAAACACATATGACAAAGGATTCCCAGAGCACTGTCGTTTAAACTAAAGAGACAGCACAGCTAAACAGCTTGACTTGCAGTTGCTTTTGTCTGACTAAACCCTAGGCCTCAGCTGTCTGGTAAGCAGGAGTCACTGCTCTTTCAGTGCAGCTGAAAAGTAACTGTGCCAATGATCTGGAAAAAAAAGACCAGCTGCATCATACAGATAATATTGCACATTTCCTAAAAAAAAAAAAAAAAAAGATACTTATTAAAAAAATGTATTTTCTTTAGATTTGACACAAAAAAACAAAACAAAAATCAGATATTAATCATCCCACCAGGTTAGTTGAAAAGTAAGCATTGTAGATGGAAATAGAGGACAGGGCTAGGAAAAGGTGGCAGGAAGGTGCAGGGGAGGGCAAACAAGGCAGTATGGGAAAAAATGCCAAAGAATCCCAAGAACTAAAACCTCAGATATGTGCACCAAGCAAATCAGTACAATCCAGGTCTAACCCTGGTGGGGCAAATTCATTTTCTCCTCTCTATATGCCATATGACTCCCCAAAAATGGACTTAGTTGTTTTGAGTGTATTTACTCAATATGCACTTAACATCTGTACAAAGCATTATACACAAAAAGGAAGCAAAAAAAAAATTCCAAAATGCTATGCAGTAGGGACTTTTACCAGAACAGATATTTGTTTTGCGAAAAAAGCTTTCCTTTTTCCCTTAGCAATATGGTTTTCTTTGTGTAAGCTGAATGTACAGTGCACAGAGAATGTGCCATTCTCAAGCTGCTTTCAAACTGGCTGGTTTGTTGCAGCCTCCAGATTCCTGCAGGAAGTATCTGCGGATTCTTGCTCCAGGAATGAATGGGTTATGCGATCAGCATCAGCCACTCAGCCCATTTAAACAAATTGCAGGCTGACAGCGGCCGCTGATCACATGGGGCCGCACACAGAGCAGTTAGCTGTAGTTCCTGGATGTCCAAGCCTAGACGCAGTAACAAGCTCGGACATCTGTCCCGTAACTGCAGCTAATCCTGTGTGCGGCTTCATGAGATCAGCAATGGCCGCTGTCAGCCCACCATCGGTTTAAATCGGCTGAGTGGCCGATGCTGATCGCAGAACCCAGTCATTCCTGCAGCAAGAATCCACAGATTCTTGCCGCAGGAATCCAGAGACTGCGACAGACCGGCCATGTGAAAGGGGCCTTAGCTCATTGTGATCAGGTGACAGGGATGCTGCAACTCCTGTGTGCATGTACAGGAGTTACATCATCGTTGGCCGCCCAATGAAAGAAAAAGATCACCACGGGACCCATAAGAATTGCCAGAAGAGACGAGAGCAGGAGACATAGCAGTGACAGGTGCCTGGACACATCATTACGAAGGACAGCACAGGAGGGATTTTTGCACCTGTAATCTGCAGGTATGCTGTGCAAATTTGCAGATTATGGCAAAAGCTCACCTCACCGAAAAAAAATGACTCACTTTAAAGAAGGAACAGAATTGATAAAAGCCTTCCGAGAAAATTTTAACCACGCAGACCGACAAATAATGTGTGGGTATTTGCGGTACATAACAAAAGTGTAGATGACAGTTTGTAAACCACATCCTGACTTGTAGGTGGCCACTTTACTAATGCTGAAGATACCACCTTGGCAATGCAATGTTATTGTACTTGTAATTCATTCTAAGCATGCAGAAAAGTCATGCTGATAAATTAATACATTACATATACAAATGGTAATAAAGAATATCCAAGGTCAAGATCTTATTTTGTTCGTTTACAACAGATTAGTGAACAGATAAAATGGCTACAAGTTTGTTTTTTTTTACTGTGTCCCATTGGAGGGGTTGTCATTCACTTCAGGGGGCACAGACAGCAATAAACACCTGATTGTGCTCTAATTCCTCAATCTATACAAAACTAAAAAAAATATACTTTAATAATTGGGAACAGTTCAGACTCTTGCACAGTTCAAAAACACACTAATCTTTAAAGGATTAAGCACCTGTTAGAAACTACTGGGAGTCACAGGGGATTTACATTTGTAATAGAGATTCCCCATTTGCTCTTACCATAATCTTCAGTCTCTGACCATCTCTTGCGTCATGTCCACAGTCTCCGACCATCTCTTGCATCATGTCCACAGTCTCTGACCACCACTTGCGTCTTGTCCAGTCTCTGACCATCTCTTGTGTCTTGTCCACCGTCTCTGACCATCTCTTGTACCATGCCCATATTCTTTATCTATTTCCTGTTGTGTGTCTGTTGTCTCCAAGACTGAATATTCAATTAGAGTGTTACTAAACCCACACCAGTAAAATCAGTCTGTATATGCAGTGAAGCTTGCTTGTTATACTCACTGTGGAACCTAAGGGGTTAATCCTCTGCATTGTGTAAAAATGCAATTTGATCTTGTCTTCTCTGATCCTCCCCTTCTTCCAGTGCCCCCCCCCTTATCTTCTGATAAGACCTATGGTGTGGAGACACTCTGCACATGCTCAGTTTGGTGTATTGTCAGAGAGGCTTTTATTTCTTGGGAGAGTGCATGTGATCAGCACAGGGTCAATTACCACTGCCCAGACAGAGGGTCAGGGATTCTGCATCCTCCTAGAGCAGAAAGAAAACTCCTCCTAGAAGCTTTAACCAGTGCTTGGTTGGACACGAATAGAAGTCACAAATTGCTAACTGCTGATGAGAAAAGGTGTTTAGCAGTTTATATTTACTAAAATAATTGCACTTCCATGTTCTGTGTACTGTGGGAGACCAGATATAGTGAATACAGGATCTGAGGTTTAGTAATACTTTAATTTCATGTGTGGCCCTTTGGTGATGAATAAAATAAAAAAAAAACCAAAAAACTCAGGGGCCACACTTGATGCCCCCATATCAAGAAAAGTTGAGCACCACTGGTCTAGCTGTTTATTAAAACCACTATAGATTTTCTGTGTCATACAAATGACAATAAAACTCAACAATATTTTGTTTTTATTTTAAACAAAATGCACAAATACCTGACTAAAAACAGGATTAACGTTCAATGTATACATCAGCCAAATGGTTCATCTTTATTATGGCTGTTATTTAATAAAAACGGGGAGAGAGAAAAAAAAAAAAGAAAAAAAAAAGAAAAGAAAACAATTCTGAGATTGCCGGAATCTAAAGAATACAGTCTTTATGGTGACAAAGTAAAATTTCACCAAGCTGAGGAGTAAAGAAACATGAAACGGTATGTTCCATGACTGGAAAAAAGTGTGGAGGAGTTATTGGTAGTACAATTCCAGGTTCATTCCATCGTGGATTTCATCTGAACAGTCAACGTTAAGGGAAAGATACCCTACACCAGGGCTTAAAATTTCCAGTCTAGACCTACTAGCCAGGCACAAACCTTACTCTCCACCAGTAGCCCCACCTAACCGGAACTCGGCTTCACAATGAGGCTTGGAGTGCAGCCGCTCCATCACCTGTGCTCATCGCTAGAGAATTTCTCCTCGCATTTGGCGAGCGGCTTTTTCAAGCCTTGCCCTACACAATACAAAATAAAGCTTTAATAATAAAAATATGAAATAATTTAATTAGAGTTGAATTATTAAAAGCAGAATCAGGCACTTCAACAGAGCTCCAAGCCCTCAAGCCAGGTTTTGGAAGCTGCTCCATGAAACTTCCCCATGCTAAGCATTATCTGTACCGCATTACAGGCATTTGTAGCTTTTATTTCTGCTGTACTTAGATAAACTAGGTTTCACCCTACCCCTGTGCAGTCTTGCCCTATCAGAAGCTGGTTGGCACATGGCCCAGCCATGCTATGGTTGGCAAGTCTTTGGAGCAGAGAGGAACTGGAAGTGATGTCACATACAGCAGTCTGGGGAAGTAGACAGTTAATGGAGCTCCATGAACATGGCAGATGGTAGTGGTATATGCAGACACCACACAGCGTACAGAGAATTCAAATCAATTTCCATTCATGAATTGTAAATGTATCTGCGTGTTTCCATAAATATATTTATGCAGAAGTGGCTTAAGTGTAATTTATGAATCAATTTGATTTCTTGTTACCAACCGCAAATCACCTACTCAACTGAAGGAGTGTTATTAAGCACTGTAAGGGTTTACCGACAGATGGCAGTATGTGCAATGGCTAACCTTTTGCCTGCTACAGGTCTAAACTTCAGAATATTTTTAACTGCTTTCTGCCCACCCTGGTGTCCCTTTAAATAGTTCGGAATGGACGCGGAAAACTGGCGAGCATGTAACCACTGCCGCAGTGGTCACATGATCAGAACCTGGATCTGTCGGCGAACCTGGAGCCTATCCTACCTTCAGCTAATAGCGGAATCTTCTATTCCTCCTACCAGTCCATCTCCCACAGTTACTACCTTTTGTACCACTAGCCCCTCCCTCTTAGATTGTAAGCTCCAAGGGGCAGGGTCCTCCTAACCCTCTTGTATTGAACTGTATTGTTGCTGTATTGTCTCCCGTTATATTGTAAAGTGCTGAGCAAACTGTTGGCGCTATATAAATCCTGTATAATAATAATAATAATACTGATCTTTGCCCCAGACCAAGACCAGTAAAAGTTCTTCTCATGATATACTCACCTGACACTCCAACAACCAAAGGTCTGGCGTATTTTAAGTAATCCATTTAATCAGATTATATCTAAAAGGATACAGTCAGAGAGTGTCACGTGGTCCTTAAATATCGTGTACCTGAAATCAAGATAGGACACTTCAATCTTTGCTAGGTCTCAATATATACATTATAAACAAGATGTTCCCCTGAGCTCACCATTTCTTTAGCACTATCTTGTCCCACCGTGTGCCTGTCTGAGCTGCAATGAGTTTCTTCAGATCCTTGATGGTGTCATCTGAGCTGGGCTGCAAGTCAAGGAGTCACTGGAACCAATTGTTTCAAAGCCAGATACAGCTGCATCACACCTTTATTACAAAAGCCTTAATACACTAGCAAAAAGAAACCCACTTATTGAATGCAAATTATTCCGAAGTGCTGCCTATATGGAACTGACATCACATAGCAGAGAATCACCAGCAGTTTCCCACCAAGCCAGATCATGGGTTTGCTGTACAGGGTTTTCATTGCACAGCGCAGTGCAATCTAGGCCTATTAGTTATACAGTCAAATATTGATAAGGCAATCTGTACGTGGTTTACTTTATTAAGCATAGCACTTTGTATTGGTTTTACACTTTAATTCTTTGCCACCACCTCCTTCAGGCATTTTAACAGGATATGAAGGCCAGGAGGTGGAGGCAGAGATGGGCTTCCTGATCATTTGAAAGCTGCGATTAGCTATTCCCGTGGTCACATGATTAAGAGTTTCCAATTGTAAACAAAAACTGGGAGCAGTCCATGGCAGTGAGCATGATCATATTTAACCCCAGCTATTGGTAAACGGACACACACACACACACCTCTCACTGCCAGGACAATGTGTCCCTCACACGATGGAGGAATCCCTCCTCCCCGCCAGCACCTACCACTGTCAGGATACACTGATCAGTGGTTGCAGCTGATTGGCTACAGCCACTGATCGATGGAAAATTTCCAACAATTCTCTTTGACAGAAGTCAATTAAACAATTACACCCTGTTCCAAATTATTATTCAAATGATATTTTTCTTATTTACCTAAATAATTGATGTAAATAACAGTCGGCATAATTCTCATGTTATCAACTATTAAGAGTACAATTCACATTTGATTGAACAAACCTCCTAATGATAACAGTATTTTTTTTAAACATAAAACACTTCCAATGCACTGTTCCAAATTATTCCGCACAGTAAGTTTCAAAACACTTTATAGGTTGTAAAGAACTGAAAATTGTCATTTGTTGTGTTTGCAGCATATTTACTGAAATCAAAAGCTATTTCAATCAAACTTTTAACAACATTTTAACTTTTTAAACATTTGAACAGGTCACGTTACATTTTAACATGGGACCCTTTATTTGATAGCAGCTTCACAAGTCTTGCATCCATTCAACTTGTGAGTTTTTGGACAGTTTCTGCTTGAATTTGTTTGCAAGATGTCAGAATAGCCTCCCAGAGCTGCTGTTTGGATGTAAACTGCCTCCCACCCTCATAGATCTTTTGCTTGAGGATGCGCCAAAGGTTCTCAATAGGATTGAGGTCAGGGGAGGATGGAGGCCACACCATGACTTTCTCTCCTTTTATCCCCATAGCAGCCATTGATGCAGAGGTATTCTTTGCAGCATGAGATGGTGCATTGTCATGCATGAAGATGATTTTATTATGGAAAGCATAGTTCTTCCTTCTGTACCAGGGAAGAAAGTGGTCAGTCATAAACTCCACATACTTTGCAGAGGTCATTTTTACACCTTCGGGGACCATAAAGGGGCCGACCAGCTCTGTTCCCATGATTCCAGCCCAAAACATGACTCCACCAAAGCCTTGCTGACGTCGCAGCCTTGTTGGAACAGGGTGGCCGTCCACCAACCGTCCACTACTCCATCCATCTGGACCATCCAGGGTTGCACGGCACTCATCAGTGAACAGGACTGTTTGAAAATTAGTCTTCATGTATTTTTCTGCCCAATGTAGCCGTTTCTGCTTGTGAGCATTGGTTAGTGGTGGCCGAATAGAAGGTTTATGCACAGTTGCAAGACTCTGGAGGACTCTACACCTTGATGTCCGTGGGACTCCAGAGGCACCAGCAGCTTCAAATATCTGTTTGCTGCTATGTAATAGTATTTTAGCAGCTGCTCTCTTGATCCAATGCATGGATCTGGCAGAAATCTTCCTCAATGTGCCTTTATCTGCACCAACCCATCTGTGCCTGAATCAGCCACAAATCTCTTAATAGTGCAATGATCACGCTTAAGTTTTCGTGAAATATCGAATGTTTTCATACCTCGTCCAAGGCATTGAACTATTTCACTCTTTTTGGCAGCAGAGAGATCCTTTTTCTTCCCCATATTGCTTGAAAATGGTGCTCTGCTTAATAATGTGGAACGCCCTCCTTTAGTAGTTTTTCCTTAAATTGGGCTCACCGGCCAATCTAATTATCACAGGTGTCCGAGATTGTGTTCAGTGATCAAAAGAGCCCTGACACACAATGCCATCCATGAGTTAAACTGAAAAACAAAATATTTAATCTTTGTGACACTTAAATAGAATTTGCATAATAATTTGGAACAGGGTGTGGAAGAAAAATTAATCTGAAAACAGAACTTGGAATACTTTGTATTACATATATAGAAGATTCTACAAATGAGTACTAGCACAGGAAATTCTACATGTCATCAGCAGATTTTATTCGGTCATTGGCACCCAATTGTACATAGATTCTCCAGTCCCTTTCTCTGAAGCCTCAGCTGCACTGGACAGTGAATGAATAAGAAGTGTTCTGCTGAGCGACGTCCTGTTCATTCACAAACTGAAGCATAGAAATAGGCAGTGACAGGTGCTCTTTACTGAGAGGTATAGGGGCTATTAGACCCCAGATCTCTCCTCAGCCTTTCACAGCATCTAATCACACCAAGATCAGTGTGAGGGAGGGGTCCCCTCCTGCTACTTTTAAAAGCAATCCAGCGACTAATTAGCCGCTAGGATTGCTTTTACAAGAAAGCCAACTGCCAGCTCTAAAAAAACAATACCTTGATGATGCTTGTATAACCACTTGAAGTCCAGAGAAGTACGGGTACATCGCTGGTTGTCAAGTGGTTAGGAAACCTGATATATGAACACCTAGAAATCAAAAGGGATATTTAAATTTTACACGGGAATTCCACTTTAAAGGCTTCAAATACTGACTTTGATAAGGATACTTGCATTTTACCCGGACTTTCTTTCCCAAACGGTCATTACAGACCACCTCAATCATCATGAGACCTAGTATTGGGGAAAAAAAAAAAAAAAAGATGTTGAAAAATTACATACGGAGACAGAAAACAGCAAAGACACTAATCCAGAAAAATGCAGGCTTTCACAATGGCAATGGACTAATACCTCAAGCCCTATAAATATGTACTGGAAGGCTGGAAGCATTACATCATCAGTGCCCACTATCTGATGATGTAAAAATGTAAAAGTAAAAATGCTGTGCACTTTGATGCTCAAGAGCAGGATTTATGGATTACATCATCCGAGTCTTATAAACCAACAGAGGAAACTTAGCAGCGGCCAGCACTAGACCATTCAGGGCAAAGAAACAGGTACTTCTGCAATAACCCCATGCAAACGGAGACTCCCATTCCTAGCCTTGGTCAGAACTGTAGGTCTAAACCCAAACAAAGGGTTCTTCTGACAGCTGGCTGCTTAGGCCTGAGTACTAAATCATGGGAGGCGGTCACATACTCCCCCATGCATGGGTGTACCAGCTATTTAATAAGGTCTCTGGCAAGGTAATGGAGTGGCAGAGGAGCACAGGGAAATGTAAATGCAGGATGAGGGCCTTGTTCCTACTAGGGAACCTGTTACATTACACTGAATGGGCAAAAAGATGAATTCTCTATAAACTACTAAGCAACTTATTGACTCCCTGGTTATCTCTCGCCTTGACTATTGTAACTCCCTCCTCATTGGCCACTTCATCGCAGACTATCCCCTCTTCAGTCTATCATGAATGCGGCTGCCAGACTCATCCACCTTACTAACCGTTCTGTATCTGCCACCCCTCTCTGCCAATCCCTCCACTGGATTCCTGTTGACCAACGAATAAAATTCAAAACATTAACAACATATAAAACCATTTATAACTCTTCCCCAAATTACATCACCAATCTTGTCTCCAAATATCACCCAAACTGTACTCTCCGCTCCTCGCACGACTTCCGGTTCTCTAGCTCCCTTGTCTCCTCCTCCCATGCTCGTCTCCAGGACTTCTCCAGAGCCTCCCCCATCCTCTGGAACTCTCTACCCCAATTTATCAGACAGACAATCTCCTACTCTGCTCACTTTTAGGCGATCTCTGAAAACCTCTCTCTTCAGGGAAGCCTATCCTGCCCTCAGCTAATACTGGAATCTCCTATTCCTTCCACTAGTCTATCCCCCACAGTTACTACCTTTTGTACCACTAGCCCCTCCCTCTTAGATTGTAATCCAAGGATCAGGCCCTCCTCTCCCTCTTGTATTGAACTGTATTGTTGCTGTATTGTCTCCCGTTATATTGTAAAGTTCTGAGCAAACTGTTGGCGCTATATAAATCCTGTATAATAATAATAATAAAGTGATCCTGCAAATCGTGATAAGGTTCGCTTTATAAAGGGCACGATAAACAGCCGGCAAATACTTTCCCCTCACTCCATGAGTTCATTCATCTCAGCAGTTTCTGAAGAGACATAGGTGTTTATTTACTAAAGCTGGAGAGTGCAAATTCAGGATCACTTCTCCATCACGACCAACACCACCACCATCAGCCCCACCCCGCAAGCCAGAGTACTAGGTGTCATCCTAGACTCCAATCTGTCTTTCCAGCCCCAGGTCCAATCGCTGACAAATTCATGCAGACTCCACCTTCACAACATCTCCAAAATACGTCCGTTCCTAACTCCAGAAACTACAAAGCAACTCATTCACTCCCTTATTATATCACGACTTGACTACTGTAACTCCCTCCTCACCGGCCTACCTCATCACAAGCTATCCCAGCTTCAGTCTATCCTGAATTCTGTGGCCAGACTCATCCACCTTACCAACCGCTCTGTATCTGCCACCCCCCTCTGCCAATCCCTCCACTGGCTCCCGATTGCCCAACGCATAAAATTCAAACTACTAACACAGACATACAAAGCTGTTCATAATACTGCCCCAAACTACATCACCGACCTGATATCCATCTACCACCCAAAACGTACTCTCCGCTCCTCACAAGACCTCCTACTCTCTAGTTCCCTGATCTCCTCACATGCCCGTCTCCAGGACTTCTCCAGGGCTTCCCCCATCCTCTGGAACTCACTACCCCAATCCATCAGACTGTCACCTACCCTCCTCACCTTTAGGCGCACCCTGAAAACCCACCTCTTCAGGGAAGCCTACCCCGCCCTCACCTAATTGTCGATCTCCTCCACTCTTCCTACCACTCCATCCCCCACAGCTATTTCCTCCTGTACCACTATCCCCTCCCTCCTAGGATTGTAAGCTCCAAGGAGCAGGGCCCTCGAACCCCTCGTATATTGTATTGTTACTGTAATGTCTCGTGTACTGTCTCCCATTGTAATGTACAGTGCTGAGCAAACTGTTGGCGCTATATAAATACTGTATAATAATAACTTCTGCACAGAAACCAATCAGCTTCCAGATTTCATTGCCAAAGATTAATTGAACGAGCTGAGGTTAGAAGCGGATTGGTTTCTGTGCAGAAGTGAGCCCGATTGTGCACTCTCCATCTTTAGTAAATAAACCCCACAGTACGCCTGTTCTGCATTATAAATCCTGCCTGCTCACAAATTGTTTGTTAAATTAATTCCACTTCAATTACTGCACATAAGGGAGAGTCTCAGACACACACGAACCTCAGGACAAAGGATGGCTTATTTTTTAAATACAACTTTCATTACAATTGTTTTTCTGTACACAGAATAAAGAGCAGATATTCATCGGAGCCTACCTTCAGCCCTGGTTCATACTGATGCGGTACGGAATTTGCAGCGTTTTCTGTGTGAATTCTGCACCGCATCAGAATCGTGCAAACCACTGCGGGTGTGTATGTTAACAACACCCCGAAAGCAGTCCGCAAAACGTGGTGCGATGTGCAGAATCAGATCACATAGGTGTGAATACTCATGTGATTTGATTCTCTTGTGGACCAAAAAAGGGTCCTGCACGTTTTTGGTGAGGTGCGATTAGAGCCATCCAAAATGTATGGCTCCAATCGCACTGCACACAAATCGCATGTGATTGGCACAGGAATATGGTGCAGTTCCTGTGAAAATCACATGCGATGTATCGCAACGCATATATGTGAACCCAGGCTAAAGTAATACTAAATGCTAGCCTGCATCACGTCATTTTTTATTTCGCCTTAACAAAACAGTCTTTGGTTTTCTGAGTCCCCCTGTAACTTATTTTACTTGTTCATCTTACTGTTATCTTTCAACTTTCTTTAAAAGTGGAAATAAAAACAGAAATACAGTACTTACCTATTCTCCAACAGTCCCTTGCCAGCATCTTCCAGGTGGCAGTCTTTGGCTATCTTGATTAGCCAGCACAGGATGGCTCATGCATGGGAGTCAATCATCCCGGCACTGTGCCAGGAATGTAAATGGAGCTGCACATAAACAGCTCCATGACCGTTCCTCAGAGGCTTGTGAACAGGCAGGTAGGTGCACTTTAATGCAGAAGAGACACTGCATGACTTTTCAGCAATAAAAGACGTGCCTTTTTTTCGCAATATTTCATTTTGCATATTTAGTTCTGCTTTAATAGGACCAGCAAAAGTTGCAGTTGAAGGGTTGAGACAAACCATTTAATACTGTCAGGGGGCAAACAGTGGTCAGTTTTTACTTATTATTTAAAACCATGCAATGTCTGTTCTGCAACAAAATACACTTACCTGCCTGTTTTCAATTACCTGCAGAATGTACATTGAGCTACGCATGCGCAGCTCAGTTTACATTCCGGCACAATGTCTGCACGCCGGGATGACTGCACTCCTGCACATGCGTGATAGTGACATGAGCACTCCTGCCGCTGTTCAATCAACACGGTTGAAGACTGGCACATGGAAGAAGCCAGGGAGAAGATGCCAGTGAGGGACCTCACAGGTGCTGGATCTCTGAAGCACAGGTAAGAATTTTGAAGTTTTGTTTTGCTTTAAGATTGCTACTTCCCTGCATTAGAGAACAGTATACGCACCTCTCTGCTGCACCCTCTTCAGTATTCCACACATCTGGCCATGTTGGATACTAGGGATGCACGGATACCCTCTGTCGATCAGCGAGTACTGATACTTTCGGTCAAGTACTCGCCAGTACAGAGTACCTATACATTGCAGTGCAATTTGTATTCATACAAAATGTATGGACGAAAATTGCAAAGAATAGCATGCGATTCCTGTCCAAAGCGCATGTGATTTCCCACTGCTCCTTTGTGGACCCAGGCTGCCATACAGGAGCAGTGCAGGGAGGTTTCCCACAGCGGAGCGGAGTGGGCATGTGGGGATGTATACTATGGTGGCAGATGTTCCATATTCTCAGTGGTAGAAGAGAAAAAGCGGCGGGGATTAGGAGAGGAGAGAAAGCGGCGGGGATTAGGAGAGGAGAGAAAGCGGCGGGGATTAGGAGAGGAGAGAAAGCAGCGGGGATTTAAAATCTCTCCTCGTCTTGTAGGGATGACAGTTTGGGCTAGAGGGCTTTTTTGGTCAGCACCGTCACATGGATCGTGCTGACCAACCAGATGCCATCTAGCCTGTACTGTCATCACTGCCAAAAGAGGAAAGAAAGCTGCTTTACAGGTCTGGGGATTTGAAATGCCCACGGCTTTCTCTTGTCTCCTTGGAGCGATGACAGTATGGGCTAGACGGCCTCTGATTGGTCAGGACCATCCACGTGACGGTGCTTACCAATCAAAAGCCCTCTAGCCCGAACTGTCATCCCTGCAAGGAGAGGAGGGAACATCGCCAGCATTTTAAATCCCTCCTGCTTTCTCTCCTCTCCTATCGCTGAGAATCTGGAGCATTTGCCTCCACAATATACATCCCCACACGCTCACTCTCTGCTCAGCATGGAATGCCTGCAGGAAGGTTTCCCACACCGCACATGTGTGAACTCGGGCTATGACAAGTCTGGTTGTACACAGGAGCAGTGGGGAAACCGCATGTGATTTAGACAGGAATCGCATTCCTGTTCAATTCGCATGCTAATCTTTGTGGTGCAATTTGTATTG